GCAGTCGAACCAGCAGCTGGATGAGGAGGAGGTGTACCAACTCATACTCGACCTGACGCACCCGGCGTCCCGCGAGCAGGCTCTGCTGGATCTCAGCAAGAAGCGAGAAGCGTACGAGGACCTCGCGCCCATCTTGTGGCATTCGTTTGGTGTTATGGCTGCGCTGCTGCAGGAGATCGTCTCGGTATATCCTATGTTGATGCCACCAACGTTAACGGGTCATGCAAGCAACCGAGTGTGCAACGCTCTCGCACTATTGCAATGTGTTGCGAGCCATAATGAGACGAGAGGACTTTTCTTGAATGGTACGCTGGAAAAAAGCGTTTGACGACGGGTCCTTTTTGTGTGCGCGAGCTGATGCGTACTTCGCCGTTGTTACAGCCCATATACCTCTTTTTCTATATCCATTTTTGAATACCACCAGCAAAACGCGTCCGTTTGAGTACCTCAGGCTGACCAGCCTTGGAGTCATCGGTGCTCTGGTCAAGGTAGCTAGATACACTTCCGTCGCATTTCTTTGCTGCGCCATTGACCCCTCACTTCCACCGCTGGCCCCTCTTTCGCTTCCACAGCAAAACGACAATTCGGAGGTCATCAAGTTCCTCCTCTCAACCGAAATCATTCCACTTTGCCTTCGCATCATGGAAACTGGGTCCGAGCTTTCCAAAACCGTCGCCATATTTATTGTCCAGAAAATTCTCCTCGATGACATGGGTCTGAACTATATTTGTCAGACTTATGAACGATTCTACGCGGTTGGGACAGTTCTTAGTAACATGGTGAACCAGCTTATTGGGCAGCAGTCCATACGGCTGCTGAAGCATGTGATCCGATGCTACATGCGACTCAGCGATAATCCACGTGCCCGGGAGGCCTTGAGACAATGTCTGCCCGAACCTCTGAGAGACTCGACCTTTGCTTCTATTCTCAAAGACGATATCACAACCAAGAGGTAAGAAGCTCCGTACGTGTACTCCAGCCTGGGTTGCTCTTCTAAACAATATCACGCTGATTGGCCATCTTAGATGTCTGACTACTCTGCTGCTAAACTTGTCCGATAACTCATAAGTATGGCGCTTTAACCGCCACCGTCTGCAATCTTTCCGTCTCTTTCCGGAGCCACACGCCCCATTCTGGAGATCTTTTCCAACGATTTGCTTCAAAGCACTCGAATTGCGCTGGGACATACCCTCTTTCATCGAGCCCTGCAACACACTTACACTAAATATCGCTTCGCAGCGCAATCCAAATTACACACTGTCTTTTGTAAGCCCCCAATTTTTGATCTCCACGTTGGGACGACGAGAAAAATAATCTATTTATGTGCATGAGAAGTATCTTTGAATGAATGTCATTCCTTTTTAAGACTGCAACACCAGTTTCGGGTTGTTTCCAATTTCTTTAGCCTTTGCCTGCACGTCGGCCACCGTTCGCTGCAATTCGTCAGCGATGCGGACCCAACGCTGGGCAGAGTTGGGCGGGATCCGCTTCGTCGCATCAACCAAGTTTTTCACTTCTTGCAAGTCCCATGCTCCAGTCTTTGTCGTACCATCATTGACAGGGGCTTTCTTTCGCCTTGCGCGCAGCGCGCGGCGGTCCGAGCCCGAATCATCATGCTCCGAGCCCGAGTTCCGCGGAGAGTCGTCGGGCGTCCCCGCCGCAGATGATCGTTCGCTTGCTGCAGAACCGACCACCTCATCATTCCCGGCATTATTCTGCGCAGCCGGGCCGCGCCCCATGATCCGTGCGGGTAGTCCCATCGCAAAGCGGACCGCCCACACGGGCAGACGCACCAGTAGCACATCCTTCACCCGCGGGGGGGTGCGGACCAAATGCTCTGGCAGCTCGCCCGACTCGCCGAGTAGTTGCAACGGTGTAGCGCTTTTAAAGGCCTTTCGAGATAGTGAAGGAGAAGCCCCGCCTTCTGCACCGCGCTTTTTCAGCTGCTTCTTCACTTGCTGATAGGTAAGGTTGTTGACGGAGCTCTGAGCTTCGGAAACGGCGGTACCCCGACGCCAGTAGATCAGCCATGCTGAAACGTACTGGACGAAGCTGGTAGCGACAATCAATATGATAATAATGTCAGGGATGCCGGGCTTGTAGTGGTCATAAAAGTAGCCGGCTCCTCGCCAGCTGCCAAAAAAAGAGAGAAGGTTAGTTAAGAAGTCATCTTAATCAGCTCTAGTGATTCCGCACGACTCACGTTGGAATTCCATTCCTCAGATGCCCATCATAACGTTCCCTTTCCTCAGGTTTTCGGAGGACGGTGATCACACTTGTGAGCACCTGATACAATTTCTGCGCGGCTTCATCAGGGTTTTTATCCGGATGAAGGCTGCGCGAGATGGCCCTGTAGGCCTGCTGAATCTCGCTGGTGGTAGCCGTGCGCGAAACGTTCAAGATCGAGTAGAAATCGACGTCTTTGGTGTTGGCGGCGGCTTTGAGGGCGTCGTTAAGGTCAAAGAGCGCGAGATCCTCTTTTTCCCATGCGCGCGCGGGCGACGGCGCAACTAGGAGTAGCAGTAGCAAGATGCATGGAAGCGCGGCCAGTAGCCTGCTGGCGGGTCGGCGGACAGCAACCATGGCGGGGGAAGGTTGACGATGGCCGAGGCGAGCAAAGGAGAACGACACACAGCGGCGCGAGAGTGAACCGAGGGAAGCCACGTGACTTGCGCGGACGCTGACTATTGTTGCGTGCTTGCGATAAGCGCTTACGAGATTCCAAAAAGAAGGCGAGAGAAGCTCTTCACTTCCTTAAAACCGTTGCTTTGAACCCGGAAAACTATCAGCAGCGTCGATCATGGTTGAACCAACAACAGCAAGTGCAGCATCTGCGACATCCGACACCGAGGCCCCTTCGTCTCCCGGCGCCAGGTGGACCCAAGTTGGCAGCCACAAGCACCACCACCGGAACCACAACAATCACGCCGCCGCCGCCACCGGCAGCAACTCCGCACAATCGGCTGGGCCCAGGTGGGGTGGAAACCGAGGTGCTGCTCGAGGAGGCAGGGGTAATGCTGCCTCCGGCCGCGGTCGTGGCGGGCCTGCTAACCGCGGCGACAGCAGATCGCACTCCGCCAATGCTGCCGTGTCGAAACCTCGTGGCCGCGAACCCGTGCAGAAGCGCACGCCGCCGGCCGTTCGCAAAGCATCTATTGTTTCAGCCTCTTCAGCGGCCGCCGATGACTCTGGCGACTCGTCCGACAGCGACGCCTCGGGCCGGTCGCCGAGTCCTCCGCCGCCCGCCGTACCGCTTACCTTCTGGACGCCTCTGGTCTTTTTATGCCCAATGCCCGATTGCCCGCCTCACACCGAGCCGACGACGAACCCGACTGTTGCGCTCGATCATCTGCGCGACGCCCATCGGCTGGAGGTGAAGAACGCCCACCATGTCCTACCGTATCTGGACAAGTACATTGAGCACTACGCAAAACTAGTCGCCGAAAAGGGTGTTGATGCCGTCGCGCTCAAGATCGAATCCAAGGAGTCTGACTCATCATCCGCCACGTCTGCATCCCCCTCATACATCCTCGGTCACGACTCTGACCTTGACGACAAATCTTTCCGCGAAAAGCTGCAGCGCGAAAAGCTTACTCAGATGCTCAAAATCCAGGAAAAAGAGCGCTTGGAAGACCCCACCCATCCTCGGAAATGCCTCTTCTGCAAAGTACAGTGCGAAAACCGCACGTTACTTTTCAAACATATGTTTTCCGAGCACGGATTCAACATTGGCTTGCCCGATAACCTCGTCGAGGTGTCTGAGTTCCTGGAAACGCTTCAGAAGAAGCTCGCTGGTCTGCAGTGCTTATACTGCGAAAAAATTTTCAAAACCGCGGCGGTACTGCGCAAGCATATGCGCAAAAAGAAGCACTTTAAGATCAACCCGCGGAACCGTGGATACGACCGGTTTTACATCATCAACTACTTGGAACCCGGCAAGAACTGGGAGGCGTTTGAAAACGAAAAATATGAGAGCGACGAAGACCGCAAGGAAGAGTACGTTGCTGCTGTCTTGGCGTGCGAAAGCGAAACGATGTACAGCGCCTTGCACAGTCATTGATTCTTTTACTTTGCTTCTAGGGAATGGGAGGACTGGAACGAGGACGACGACAGCCTTGCCTCTTCGACAATGTGTCTTTTTGATGAGCTCGTTTTCCCCACCGCCCTTGCGGCGCACGAACACATGTGCTCCGCCCACGCATTCGATCTTCGTCAAATTCGGGAAGAGCGCAACCTCGACTTTTACGGCGCCATTCGGCTAATCAACTTTATCCGCAAGCAGACCTCATATTGCACATGCTACTCGTGTAGGAAAGCGTTTGACACGATTGAGGAAATGACAGCGCATATGGAGGCACAGAAGCACTTCAACGGCGTACCGAGCGAGGATGCTGATTTGTGGAGTGACCCTCAGTAAGTGTGCTTTGGTATTACTCAGTGTCAGTTTCGAGACAGTTCGCGGCTGATTAATATTACTTCCTACAATTTCATAAGATATCTCTTCCCGTGCTACGAAAACGATCCCCTTCTCATGTTTGACATGACTTCGGAAGACCAAGACGACGACGACCAGCCACCACTCAACGCCGCCGAAGCCGAAAGCGAGTTGCGCCGGATCGCTGTAGCGCAGCGGGAAAAGGCTGCAGATCACGAGCGCCTTGCCGCAATCTCGGCAGCAGCGGCCGCGGACGCCGCCGCCGCGGTTGGCGGCGAGACATCTGATGGCGAGGTTTCGCCTTGTGAATCGGACGTGATTGTAGTTGGCGTAAAAGAAGTGCGGCTGGAGGACAATGAAGGAGAACTAGAGGGGAAGATAGAGACGGAATAGTTTGGCGTAATATTATCGCGTGAGGGTGGCCCAAGTGCTTTGATTAACATGGTTGTGTGAGAAAAGAAGTTCGCACCCGATATAGCGTGGATATGGTAGGGGAAGTCTGAATGGAAGAGCACACATGTAAAAATAATGATTAGCACTGTGATTTAAATGGACAAAAAAATTATGCCGGAGGTGGGAATCGAACCCACGGCGTTAGTTACCAGTCGAGTCAAATAATCCTCAGTCGAGTACACGGCGCCTTAGCCGCCAGGCCATTCAAGCGTTTAAAATTTCATAGCATTTATAAACATTATATCCTTATATGTTTGCGCAAATCTATAGTCGGGTGCGAACGGGTAGCTTTGTACAGGCTTTTCTCAATGTCGATCTGTTGCCGGGTGCCGGTCCACGCGCGACCTAGTAAAGCGAACCAGTCCAGGCGGCTCGCCGGTTCTAAAGGATGGCGACCACATCTTCTCCTTGACAAGAAGGCGGGCTGGACGGCGAGTGAGATTTCAAACAAGCGAGCCAAGCTTCTGCTCACACCGGCTTGGATCGAGAATCAAATCCGCCACAGCACGGAAGACGAGCAAGAACCGGCTTGTGATGCATTTACTACAAGCTTTTCAGGCGGACCTGAGGAGGACTATGTTGTTTTTCCGACGACCTGGCTCGCGCGCGCTTCCCAAGTCTGTTCCTCACGTACAAGGGCGTCGTCCGCCTAATGAACGTGAGCAAAGTGCCGGCAGCGCGGCGCTTTTGTGCCAGCCGCCCAGATGGGCTCCACAGAACAGCGGCAGGACGTCGCGGCAACCATTCTTGGTGTGCCTCTTACAGAGGTACGCAATGTCCTGAGCTGCATCCGCCAACCGGCGTATACCTCGTGAGCCTGGGTACCGTTGCAACTGCGCAAGTCCATGGAGGTTGCCAGCGATATTGCCGACACCCGGACGCGTAACGCGTAACAAAGCTACATCTCAAGCCACTCGTACGACCTATTACCTACCCGGCCTCTCAGGAACGAACGTCTGAGGTGTCCGCACCTGTATATTATCATACCTAAATTATTTGCAATTGCACCGTGTATAAATAACAATGTAGTTGCAATCAACAAAGCCTCAACTAGTTCGTAGCTACTTGTTAAATCGCCCTCATCCATAGAGTGGCAGGCAGAGGACGAGAACAATAATGGTGGAAGTGGGAGACGCGGAAGCTTGTGAAGAAGACTCCAACGAGCTGTCGAAAAACTGACCACGTTTACCGTCGTCCTTTTTTTCTTTTTTGCATGAAGGGTTTTGTTACGCAAATACGCGCGATATTTTCATTCAGCAAGAGCGTATAGAGGATCAATGTGACTGCTACTATATTGCTGATGATGCCCAAAAATACACATGTGTGCCAGATTCCAAAACATGAACATAACTCCTCCGCTGCCAACAGATAGGCGTATGCTTCTCCCATCATCCTGCAGCTTCGTTTAGCTCCTCCGCAAAGTCCCACTCGGCGAGCGCGTGCGTCAGGCCCATGCGGTGGATGACGAGGCGGAACAGGTACTCGTCCAACGGGCCGACATGCAAGTCCGGCGATGTCCGGCGCCACGCATTTTCGTCCACTGTCTTCAAGGTTGCCGTCGTTCCTCCGTTGATTGCTCCCGCTGCGTCTGCTGCAGGCGCCCCATTGACGGTCGACATTACACGGCTCGAGTCCGCCAGCGGCAGCGCCGCAGGGCCACCGCGCTCGCCTTCCTCCGTCTCTGCAAACTCGGCAACATCCCGATCCATTTCAGTCTGGGCCCGCCGCAATGCAAGCACGTCGGTTTCGTCCTCTGCCTGAGTAATCGCTTGCTCCCAGCTGCCACCCGAATCTGCAGCTGCCGCAGCGACCGCCATCGCAGGGCCTAACCAGTCTTTCCACGCTCTGCCGCCGCTGCCTTCCTTTTGCATCCATTCAGTTGTGAAGTCACCAGCCTGAATCACGACGCGATCTAGCTGCCGCTTTTGGTTCGCTTTACGCAACATGTTTTCCTCCACGGTGTGCTCACAGACCAGTCGGTAGATATGCACTTCGCGCGTTTGTCCGATGCGGTGAGCACGGTCCTGTGCCTGCGCGTCCATTGCTGTACAGAAGGACCCAAATAGTATAATGAGTTACATGTCGCTTGATAGCATTAGCCACGTGATCAAATACAAACCTGGATTCCAGTCGCTGTCGAAAAACACTACCGCGTCCGCACCCGTAAGGTTCATGCCAACGCCACCAGACCGCGTGCTGAGGATGAACGCCAAAATCCGTTTATCGTTGTTAAACCGCTCCATCAAAACCTGCCGTTGCTCAACCTTGGTTGATCCATCAAGCCGGAGGTAGCGGTGACCATGGAGATTGAGAAAGACCTCGAGGATATCCAACATTTTGGTCATTTGCGTGAAAATCAGCGCGCGGTGTCCGCCAGCGCGAAATTCGCGAAGTAAGCGGTCAAGGGTTTGCAGCTTGCCACAATCAAATTGCACCAACCGCTTGTCCGGGAAGGATATTTCAAGCTGCGTTTTCGCATGCGATAGCACATCGTCAGGGCACGCGCGCTCGAGCTCTGCCGCAAAAGCCGCAACGTCTGGGAGTGAACCACGCGGGCGGTCGAACCCGTCAGCCTCTCCGGGACCGCCGTCAGCAATGATCCGGAACGGATGAGCTCGCGCTCGTGGCGTCACGCATGCAAATCGCTCGATCGTCTCACGAAGAGCCTCTGCGCGTTCTAGAGGCGTCTTGACGGCATCTCGCAGCACCGCGCTTGTTGCGCCCATTCGACGTGGATCAGCACTTGCAGGTATGATTCTGTCGATTTCGCGCCCGCCTAACTGGCGGCAAGCACAAGCAAGGCCGCGGGTATATATGGGGGACTTTATAGCACATCGTACGCGGTTTTTATGCGCAAGGCGGCGCCATGCGGCTGCGTCATTGCGCGCTTCGCGCCATCGCCTCACCCGGGTATACTCGTCTACGGTAGAGTAACATACTTTTCCGTATGAATTACATCCAGGCAGCAAGCTACGCGCAGCCATTTCAGCCGTGATCGCATCACCCAATGCTATGTCGATAGCGTCGCTTGCGTCAAGGTCATGCAACGCGCTTCCATCGAACGCGGACCATCCATGCTCACCCTCGCGGTCGATATTCACGATCCGAAAGCCTACGCGCGCGAAATCAACTTCATCATCCATGTCCCTCAAGAGTCGGCGCACGGCTAACGTCTCTTTTGCACCCATGACTTCGAATGCAACTCCCCCTTCGTGCAGCGCAAGGCCCGTAACAACCGGCCGCTCTTCAAACAAATTAGGGTGATTGCAGACCTTGCGCAGCTGCATAAGGACATTTACAATGCTCAGATAGTTTCCCGACGCGAGGTCCTCTTTTGTTTTTGCGCGCGACATGAAATCGTCATAGAGGAACCGCTGCCGTTTGCTGAGTCGGCATTTGACGACATGCTCATGCTTGCCTGGCATTTGTTTTTCAACATCGGCTTTGAGTCGACGCAAGATGTACGGTCTCAAGACAGCATGCAACCGTCCAACTGAAGCACGTGTTTCCGGATCTGCCATATTCGACGCCATCAAGCTCGACCCATCGCCGATGAGCTGGGAGACGGAGCCCTCAAACCACTCCTTGAACTCCTGCCGGCCTGCAAAGCCGTTGTTCTCTTCACCCGTATCGGCCGGCATCAAAAAGTACAGTAAACTCCACAGCTCCATCAAGCTGTTTTGTAGAGGCGTGCCGGTCAGCAACAAACGTCGTTCCGTGTTGAAGCCCAGTAAGGTCTGCCATCGCTGACTCCGGAAGTTTTTGATATTGTGGGCCTCATCCAACACGAGATAACACCATCGTTTTCGACGAAATATATGCTGGTCGCGCAACACAATTTGATAGCTCGTTATGCAAACGTGAAACGCATTGGGTCTTTGCCAACCGGCCCGTTTCGCTGCGCGCTCGGCGATGTTGCCATAATACGTGAGAAGTTTGAAGCCCGGTAGCCACTTTTTGAATTCACATTCCCAGTTAAGCATCACTGATGTTGGGACGACGATGAGATGAGGGCCCCATACGCCTTTATGGACCGCCAAATGCGCAAAGAGAGCAATGGTCTGGATGGTCTTCCCAAGCCCCATCTCGTCTGCGAGAATACCGTTCAGACCGTTTCGGTATAGTCCTGCAAGCCAGTCCAAACCGGCATGCTGGTATTCGCGAAGAGAGTGTTTAAGCAGGAATGGGATAGGAGTTGATGGTGCAGCGGGAGCCACCTCGCGGGATAGCAATGGCTCCGGGGATGAGGACGAATCTCGCGCGATTGGAACCATGTTGGGAGACGGTGGCGAATCCGAATAATGTGGTGGGATGGCGCGAGCGTCGTCCGAATCGCCGGCTTCCCCGCCCAAGGCTGAAGGCGGATTTATATCCAAGGGCATTGCATCCGCCGCGCGTTGAACCGGCGCCTCCCGCGGTGGGCTCACTTTGAATCCGTCCTTCAAGCTTCCATCGCCTTCCTCGCCGCTCACAACGCTGGTTTCGCGTGTCGGTGGCTCTGTGAACTTTGATGTTTCGCTCTGAGCGTCATCCCCCCTTGTCTCTACAGGACCTTCATCTTCCGACAATCCTAGCTCTTCTTCCTGCTCATTCTCTTCCTCCGATTCTTCTTCTTCGCCTTCCACTTCCCGTTCTGCTGCCGCTTGGTCCATCTTACGCATCCACTCTCGTAACGCATCAACATCCATATCCATATCAGCCTGTAGCCCTTGCATTTCTTCATCGCTGTCGCCTTCTCCAAGGCGCTCCTCGCGATCGAGCTCGTTCTCCGCATCATCATCGCCGCCGCTGTCTTCGTCCACAGGGAACTGAAATTCATCGTCACCGTCAACATCGCCGGCTGCCGCAGCTGAAGAAGCAATCATCGGCGAGTCGCGACCATTGTGCACGAAGGTCTCGGGATCTTCAGAGGTGGGATTCGAAAGAGGTGTGGATGCGCCTTCTCCAGCTTCGAAAAACATATGGCCAGGCCGATGAGGAGAAAGCTGGAGATCATCGGCCTCGTCCTCTTCCTCGACATCATCTTCAGCATCGCTATCGCTGTCCTCGTCTCCGCCTTCGTCGTACTGGTAACTAAAGTATTCGCTTCCAATCAACTCTTCCACCGGAATCTCCTTCTCCTGATGCAACGCATCCATTTCGCTCTGGTCGCTATGGCTGTCGGTTTCAATATCAACATCGCCATCGTCATCGCCGTCCAGAGAAAAATC